GGAGGAAGTTGTAGTGATTGGTGATATATAAAAATTTTAATGTTTTGTTATGTATTACGGTGGGAAGCAAAGCCCCTTTTTGTTGGCAAGTTTTCTAAAAACAAATCTCGAACGGGCATTTCTATGGAAAAGATTGGTTCTAAATTAAAAAATTTTAATGTAAAAATTAATAATTTATGAAATAGTAAAATACAGCAAACAAAAATTTAGGAATATTAAATTAGGAAAACATACATATTAAAAAGTATAAATAATTTAATAATACAATCTTCAAAAAAAGTCTGTTGAGCCTATGCCGTAGCTGTCATTAATTTGTAATAAAATTAATTTTGTCGTTTTCCATTCGAAAAATATAATAAATATTTGAAAAATTATACATTTATCATCCTTAATAAAAAAAACATTTTTAAATACATTATTACTAATATAGAATATAAAAATTTATTAATTTTGAATACAATTAAAATATTATGCAAAATAAAACAAAAAAAAATATATTCAAAATTTATTAATTTTGAATACAATTAAAATATTATGCAAAATAAAACAAAAAAAAAAATAAAGTTGGTTTACCTAAATTACCTTCTTCAATTGCTTTTGACTTGTTTAGTTTTTTAATAAATACTGTTAGAGAATTTTTACTCGATTTTTTACAATCTACTCGTTGCTACTATGATTATTAGTTTATTACATCATAGTTAATCTGATTTTTGATGTTTATTTTCATGTTTTGCAAGTATTTTTACTTTTTAATAACTATAATATTTATGCTCCATTTTTATAAATTTTCGATTTTCTATTTTTTCAATTGCTCTTAAGTTAGGTATTTCACTACATATTAATTTTTGTTTTAGCCTTTTTTAAGTTCTTTACTTTTTATTTTATAATAGATTTTTTATTTTACATTTTCGTTTAAAGAAATCAATACTGTTGTAAGAATATTAATGTTGTAATTATATTAATGCTGTAAGAAGCGTAAGCCTCTTTTACACCTGAGCGATGTTTTGATTATTATTATTAAATAGGATTTTTATTGTATTTAAACAAAATATCGTCTACAAGATAAAAGATTATTTAAAATGATTTATATTGTTAAAAAATTTCTACATTAATTATAAAAAAATTGTTAATAAAAAATTGTTAATAAAAAATTGTTAATAATCTTGATAATATAAACAAAGTAAAAAATATACTATTATTTTTTTTCAATAACAAACCAATATTTGTTTTTTAATAAAATTTCTACATTAATTATTAGTTATAAATATAAGTTTCGATAAATCCTATATACGAAAAACGTCTTTAAAAAAATATTTTAAAATTATTATCAGTTTTTTTCATATTGTCATTCCATAATTCATTTCAGCTCTTTCTATTAGGTCAATCATTCAACTTTTTTATGATTTTTCATTAAATTCAATTTAATTAAACCATTAAAAATTTTTTTTAAAAATAATATTCAATTTTTCAAAAACTATATTTACAAATACAAGTATTTCTTAGAAAATCATAATTAAACTAATTAAAAAAACTTAAAGACCAAATTATTTTTGTTGGATCAAACAAATATTTTTGGGTATTGAATTTTTATATAAAATTATTGATAATAAAATTAAATTTTAAATCATCAGAATTTTTCAAATCAATTAATGTAAATAAAAAAACCACGTACAGCGAAGAAGACTAGTGATTTTAAGAACGAAAGAGGCCGACCCATTACACAGAGGACTCCACTTCCTGTTCCACAACAGTTAGTATCTTCATTGTAACAATCTTTTAAATTAAAAATTAAAATATTTTTTATTAAAAAACTATTAAATTTGGTATTTTATAATTTAAATTTTTTAATTTACACATAAACCATACAGAATTAAGCTTAGCATTCGCTATCTCCGCAGCACATCTTCATAATTAAATTTTGCCACTCATATTTTGCTAAAATCAATGATTTTATTTATATTTATTTATATGAAACATAAAACTATTGAAGAATTTGCTTGATGAAATTTTTAAAAAATTATATCTTGAAATAAGACAAGCCCACAAAAAAGATTTTGGTAAACCTGGTGAATCCTTATTGATTCACTGGAAAAAAGGCAAACAATATAAATTTACCATAAGCATCATTAAACGATTGAGTTTGACAGAAATTAATGGATTACGATCTTTGATTATATCAATGGGTTATTATTTATTATTATTATCAATTGTTCATTATGACCTGACTCACAATCGTTTTTGGTTTTGGTTTCAAGGCAATGTAAAATATATTCAATTAAGTAAACAACTGGCATATACTCTTGGTTTTGAATCTCAAACAATTTACTCTGGCCATGTTGCTAAGTATATGCCCGACATTTCTGGAGGCGTCCGCCAACTATTAGTATATGCACCGAAATTAGTTGAGAATAGCATTATAGGAAACGTAACTGCTCCTCTTCTAAGGGTTGTAAATGTAAGTGGGAAACCTGGAGAAAGTATTTCAGAAGTATATATGACTGAACATCATCACCGTCTACAAGGTAAAAGACATCCTGATATAACAATAGAAATTAGAACCTTGACTGGAAAACTTGTTAAATTCCATTGGGGCACTTGCATAATAACTTTGCATTTTCAACGATCGCTATTTTAAATGACCCACGTAGCTGTTGATTTGGATAGCATTGATTGGGAACCTTTCTTGAATGCCCAAGAGGGAGGTGGCTTGGTGGACAGTAGTTCATATTTTCAAGGGACCCGATATCAACGAGGATTTGGCATAATGGGAAGCGTTGGGCGTTTTCTAATGCCTATTGTCAAAAATCTAGCATCTACTGCAGGGCAGGAAGCAGTGACAGCTGGAAAAAACGTGCTTGAAGATGTTGCTAAGGGTAGATCTGTAAAAGAAGCGTTACAACAACACGGTAGTATAAGGAACTACTACCCCTTAATGCCCTCAACCAGTCTGCCGGTCCATTTATTTTTCGCTACTTTGGTGACTCTCTTTACCTTGATTTAAGCAAGACTTATTTCAATTTAGTTTTATCCCTTGAAAGAAAAGTCGCCGAAACTGGTGAGTGGGTTCCTATTACTGACGGCTTGGGCGATTTCAAAGGTGATCGTTTTACAAGCGTTGCTCAATATTTAGGGCTTACATGGATACGTCGCTTAACTTTATCAATTAACGGGACTCAATGCTACGACTCCGGAATTCATTATGCTTACAGATGTTTAATTCTTCATGAACTTAGTGCGGATCGTGAGATGAGTAATGACCTTTATGAGGCTTCACTTTATTATAAGGATGCGGTGGATAAGGATGATTTTGAAGGCTCAGGATTTAAGTCTCGTCAAACCCGCTTTGATGAAGGAAAGCTTTGTAGAATGATTTCTCATTTAGATTATGATTTGGCTAGGCAAAACCAACTTCTCGTTCCCCATAGTGACGTCGTATGGACCTTCTATAAGAATACCGACGAATTTCTTATTCACGCCCCTAAGTACAAAATACCTCCTGCTGCAGAATTTGTTGAAAACACTCAAACATATCGTCTACGTCTTCATGACATGAGACTTGCAGTAAAGCAAGTTGACTTGAGTATGTCCTTAAACAATGCAATAGCTAGACATTTAGAGCAAACTCCTGCAAAATATGCATATAGAAAGATTGAAATGCGAAGTGTTTTTCTTGGAAAAGGACGCCAGGAGATTACTCATGCTGCCTTTACAAGTACATGCCCGAGACGCTTGATAATCTGTTTTGTTAGCTCGCCTGCATTTACAGGTGTCACTACTCTTTCTCCATTCTCCTTTGAAAACGCGAAAGTTCGTTCAGTTTCTGCAGAATTTGGAGGCTTTTTGTTTCCAGCTATTCCATATGAGCTCGACTTTGATAACAATAACTTTGTTCGTGCATATGTTGATATGTATGCAGGTATGGATCTCGATAATTGGCCAAATTCCGACCAGAGAACACTTAGTATAGGTATGAAAGAATTTTCAAAATCTTCTTGTTTTATTGTTATTCCTATGACTTCAACACTTGAAGATACCAATGGTCTGGAACTCATAAGGCAGGGCACAACTACTATAAGGTGTCTTTTTAACGAACCCATAAAAGAAGAGGGTTATGAAATGATAATTATGGGAAAATTTGATTCGATACTATCCATAAATGCAGATAGAGTTTTAAGCACTGATGGATCTGTTTAAATAATGAATTCACTACAAATTCAAACAATTATACAAAAATATGAACCTCTAAAAAATAAATTTATTGGAGTTTTTTCTTCGAATAATATACCTAGCTCTGTTAAACGAAAGAATTTTTGTTTTATTGCAAATACAATGCGTAAAGGAACTAAAGGCGAACATTGGATAGCTTGTTATGCTGATGAACCAAATATTATAGAATACTTTGATTCGTTTGCAGAAGAACCTAACTGCGAGATGCGCCAATCCTTACTTGCTAATTTCCCAAAAATTAAACAAAATCGTTTCGTATTGCAATCCCCTTTTTCGGATACTTGCGGCCACTATTGTATTTGCTTCTTAGTATTGCGTACACATTATGCGAATTTTTCAGAGGTCTTACAGAAAATGCACTCAATACCTGCTGAAGGACGTGATTATGCTTTAAGAAAATTCGTTCAACGATTAGCGTTGCTATAAACTATATAAGAATCTATTTAAATCCTAAAAATTAAAAAATGCTCTTAATAATTTTATTCTTTAGTTCGATGATTGGCATTTCCGAAAACGGAATTGTTTTTCCTATTCCAATGCACCCCTATGAAAATAATACTATTTTTATTGATAGTGAAAGGATGATAGCTCCGCCCCAACATTTTATATTGGCTTTTGCCTACGTTTTGTACATAATATTTATTTTCCTCTTACTCTTTTTTTATCGGACACGAAACGGCTTCTTTAATAGAACTAGTATAGATGACAGGATTCGCCTAGCAAGGACTTAGGCTGTATAAAAGGCATAAAATTTTAGTCAACAAAATATCAAAATGCGAACCTCGTGTACAACTTCTACCTCTGCCTATACTCAATGGCGGGAAAAATGCACAGATTTCGAATCCAAGCCTTCGTCGCCGTGCATTAAAAAGACATCCCTTGTTAATCTTCTATGTCAATTCAATGGAGGGTGCACACCCGAAACTTTGCACTGTGAGATGCGTAAAAGAACTGAGGAGAATCTAAAATATATTCAACAACTATCTGGAATGACTGAAGAAGATGTTATCTCTGCGGGAATTGGTCAAAGAATTTTGATGGATGGCCACACCCCTGTAAACGGCAAAGGACTTATCACAAATCATTTACATAAATTTCAAATGGAGTTGTACCCTTGCAAGCTAACTAAAGTTGGTGATGATCGTGTTTTCGCACTTAGAGGATACCTTCAAGTTACAATAAGGTAAAATAATTTTTTTAGTCTAAGAATAATTTTTTCGTTTTCAGGCAATACTTCTACGTCCGACACAGAATAAATCTGTATCTTCTCCGACTACCTGTGCTTTGCGTGTTTGGGGGGAAGAATCATCAATACTTTTACCCCCTTGAATGCATCGATGTTATTACAGAAGAATAGAAAATAATTATATTATTTTTCATTATTGCTATTTCTAACTACATTGCAAATAAATATTATACATAAAATGTTTGAAATTAAAGGATTATTAACAGAAATTAGGATAAATTAAGAAAAAATATCTTTGATAAGAAAGGAAAGATATGCGGCTTCTTGGTATGATAAAATTGTTGCGACCCCGTCAATTTAACTACTTTTAAACTATAAAAAAGGAAAAATAATATCACAATTATTTTTTAATTTTATAGACTTTCACCCGTCTTTTCTTAATCCCCGCGGTTTAATTACCCAAGTGTAAGGTACGTATTTATAATTAAAAATAATCTACTTACGATAAATTTTCAAATAGCCTTTCTGAATTACATTTCCTAGCCATCACAACAATAACAACCTCCTTTGAGAGCCTCTAAATTCGCACTATTTTTTTAAACATTTTTACTTTATTTACTATAATAGCTTGATTAATATGAAAAGCATCCAATTCCTGAATTTGTTGAGGTTCCAAAGAATATTTAACTCAAGACTTTCATCTCTTCTCAGTGAAAGTAATGAAATTTTAAAAATAAAAATAATAGTAAAGCGGCTCTTCAGTAGACCGGACTGGTGTGTTAGCCATTACACAAGCCGCATACTGCATATCCTTAGGAATTAAATAGCTATATGCTTTACATAATTATTGAAAAGTTAAAAATTAAATATAAAAATAAAAATATTTATTAAAAAAATAAATTATTAAAATAAATATTTTAAAAATAAATAAAAGTTAAAAATAATAAATAAAATATTTTAAAATAAAATTTAAAAAATAATATTTAAAAAATAAAATTAAATTTTTACAATTAAAAAATTAAGAGGAAAAGCGGGCAGACAATGGAATGGCCGCCCGCGAAAACATGCGGTCGACCAATAGCTAAGCAGCAAAGAAGTGAGGGCAGAAGGGTGGACGGCTAAAAATCAGCTGCCTCTCAAAAGGAGAGGGCAACGATAGGTAAATAAAGAAAAGCCCAACAAAATAATTAAAATATAAAAATTGCAGGCAGCTGATTTTTGGCTGCCCAGCCTTTACCTCCACCTTTTTTTGTTTGGTCGGCCGCATGCTTTCGCAGGCGGCCATTCCTTTGTCTGCCTAAAATAGTAGATAAAGATTTTATAAAATAAATATTTAATTGAAAATAAGTTGGTAAACAATGAAAAGAGGGCAGACAGCTGGTAGGCCAAAATCAGCGGCCGACCAATAAAGGGCGCTAAAAACTTCTTTTGTTTACCTAGTTTTCGGCCTCTTATTGGGCAGCCGCTGATTTTGGCCGCCATGCTGTCTGCCCTCTTTCTTTGTTTACCCTCTTTTTATTCTTTCTTTGTTTGGAGGAAAAATTTTTGGAAGTGAAAAATAGAGTGAGGGGTGGGGGATATTTATTTTTAAAATATTTTTTATATGGATTTTGCCTTGTAGGTTTAGGATTTAGATGGAAATTATAGGGAAATTTTACGGCTTTTTAAATTTTGAAGGGGGTTTAGCTAGGTAGGTTTGGGAAATTATGCGGTAAATTAAATTTTTTAGTGAATTTTGTTGGGATTATTTGGGTTTTTGAGAGAAAAAGTGGAGAAATTATATATTTTTTTAATTTTTTAGTGGAATTTGCCTTGTAGGTTTAGGCTTTATAGGAAAATTATGGGGAAAAATAAGTTTTTTTGTGGATTTTGTAGGATGGGTATAGGTTTTTAAGGAAATAAAGGGGAAATTTAATTTTTAACTTTTTAAAAAATGATTTAAAAGGGTTTTTGAAAAAATGTTATAAAACCCGGTTATATACTACTTTTTTAGCTCTGTAATCTTTTCTCTGCGGGGTACATTAAGAATTTTTTTGGTTCTGAAATTGATTTTAAAAATATGGTTCCAAAATTATTAGTGAAACAAAAAAATCTGGTATGTTAAAACACAGTAATCTCCCAAAAAAGAAGAAATGTCCAATTAAAATTTTTTTCCTCAATTCATTTATATGCGGTGTTAAGCGCTTTGATTTCAATTTTTTCTTATATTATACATAATTTAAAGGGATTTATTCTAATTTCCAACCTTCGGAATTTTTTTTTCAACTTATCTCCAGGTTAGTTTTTGTTTCTTTCCTTAGTTTTAAATCTGGGAATGTTAGATGGTATTTTTAATAAGGAAAGTATCCATTTTAGATCAAATATGATAATTGATTCAACCATGATAATATTATCACTCATTTTTCACATAACTTAACCATAAATACTGCTTAATCTGCTCATCTAGCCAACTATATCACAAAAATATAACCTCTGCGGAGGCCACAAAAACAATAATATAATTATTTTCACACCTACTCTTTAAATAATAGGATTAAAGGCAACTTTTTTAAAGGCAACATTTTCTGGATCTCGATTTTATTGCCTTGATTTTCTAGTTTCAAATTCAACTAAAATCATTTGAAATTTTTATATAAATGAACACAGATAATTAATTTAAATCAGTGTTTGAGCTTTAAATCCTTCCCAAGCATTCATATGATGTACGGAAAATTTTAAAAAATAATCTTAACAATATGAGTTAACAAACATAAAGCTATGAGTCAAAAAATTAAATAATAAACTAAGCAGTCTTTTTAAATTGCCTGAAATCCCGAGTCGACAGTACCCATAAGCTGAATTTTTAAGAAATAAAAACCGAAAGGGCTTAAAAATTAATTTAAAATCTGGGTTTAGGAATTAGAGGCGAAAAAAAAATAAAGTAGTAATATGTAAAATAAATGGGGCTTGAATTTTTTTGCTTGCGAAATTTTTTTCCTTTTGAAACAAAACGAAATTAAATGGCAACGAGCGAAATGAAACCCAACATTAATTAAAGGCTGTCTTTCATAACCTGTGGGTTCCTTCAAAAATAAAAATAAGTTAAAGAATGCAAATGAGTTCAGACCTAATAATTTATGAAAAGTTCATCTGTTATTACTCCATTCAGACAAAATCTTTTTAATAGACCAACAATTCAGATAACTGAAATAACTTAGGAGGATAAAATGACTTTAACCAAGTCAAAAAAATCTAAAAATATAACTTTTGCGGGGGCCGTCAAAGAAATTCAAAAAATATCTTTCAAAGTACGTATTACTGGTTATAAAATGTTAAAATTCTGAATTCCCGTTTTTATCACGTGCTCCAATATTTTAAGACTCATGACAAAATTTTTTTCCAAGATCCAGTGTTGTTGAATAATAAAATTAAGTTCAGAAAATCTACAAAAATGAAAAGAGCAACTCCCACAAAAAGTTTAATGACCTGCGGGTTTCATTTAATTTTAAAATTTTATTAGTATTAAAAATTTTTTATTTTCTCTCTCATCTCTCCCAAAATCTTATTTTTTTTCTACGCGATTTTTTTGTTATTTTGTCCCTTACTCTAAGAACTCACTTGTATGAAATTTTCTTAATAAAATTTTATACTTTTTAATTATATTTTCGCCATATTATCACTCAATCAAAATTTACAAAGTAATTTTTTAAAAAATTATTATTTACTGGAACAAAGTCCAGCAAAAAAAATCGCACTTTATTACAAATTTTTATTACAACATCTAATGTTTTTATTTTTTTTCTATTTCCCACGGGAATTTATAACCATATACTCTATCGCAGTAATCGGAAGTCAATTACAATAAAAAAATTTTCACTGCTGATTATAATCTTAAACAATTCCCGGATAGTAAATAACTACATTACTTTTACAAACCTTTAATCGCACTTACATAAATAACAGATTAGTTAATGGGAAAGATGAAACAGAAGAAAAAACTGAAATCTTATCATCTTAATCTCATTTATACCGTTCTACTCGTTAATACTTCCTTCCTTGGTTTTCTCTCAGCTCTCTGAAATATTAATTTATTTTTAAGTTTATTAATTATTTTTCATATTATTTATTTTTATTTTTCAGTTTTAAAAATTTTTTATTATTAATTCAATTCTTGACAAACTCAATGTCTTTTCATCCTTATGAGGAAGGTTCCTCAAATCCTTCAAAGGACTGCTATACAATTAAAACTCCTGCGGGAGCCATTAATGAATCTAAAAATAATCCTGAGGGATTCCATTATATTAGTATGCTCTCGACAGAAGACATTCCAACATTCACAATTTTCTCGGGGAACTCTGTAATTGAGTTTGTACGCTGGGCCAGGAAATTCAAAGATATAATCGAATGCAATGGTAAGTGGGATGAAATAGACAAAATTGCCCGTCTCAAAGTATGCTTAGACGGGAAGGCAAGAAAAATATTTGACAAGATACCACAAGCCGAAAAATCAACTCTTGAGGGAGCCATTAATAAGATATAAGAAAATTTAGATACGACACAAAATCGTGAACTAATCTTCAAGGCTTTAAGCATATGCAAACAGAATGAAGGAGAATCAGTGGAGAAATTTGCTTCCAGATTAATTCCTATGATAGAAGCAACTTCTAGAGACCACAAAGGTAATGTTTCGGAAGAAGCACTTTGCAGAAGTTTCCTTGAAAAGCTTAGTCCAAATCTTCAATTCCTCACAAGGACACTGACTGGGCCTAACAGGACAAATTTCGACACACTACTCCTAAATGCTCAAGAGGCAGAACTAATGTTATGCGCTAACTCAAATTCAATGATCAGTCCTGTATGCCTAATCAATGATCAAAGCACTTCATTGAAGGCAAACACAAACGATGAATCAAATGAAAATAGTTACAATAAAACCCTGTGGGGTTCACGCAAATTAAAAGGTGAAACAATCAAACAATATAACAACAAACCGATATGCAACTATTGTGACAAGGTAGGTCATTTTGAGATCAATTGTAGGAAACGACAGAACCAGGAACATTATCCAACTATGGAAGAAGTCGTCGAAGAACAACTCATCATCAAAGAAATGCTTAAAGAACAAGGTGAAATATTAAACGACCTTGTCAGCAAAATCAATGAACTACAAACAAACCACTGAGGTGGACTGC